CTCCACCCACTGAGCTAACCGGGCGCCAAATACAGATATTTTTAGTGAGAAATGAACTGTTGTTAACTCCAGCAGTAGATCCACATCACTCATAGTAAGAAGACGATTTAGAAGTACTTTTTCAGTGCCATGAACTTTTAATAGATAGACAGTTCTTTATAGTTTTCCCATGAGGACTTCTCTCTTATATTACACTGCTGTAGATATCCATCTGTGCCTCTTTAAATGAATCCTCTTCGTTGTCTCTCTCTATACTATTTACTGCCCCCACAGCAGCTTTTTTTTTTTTTTGGTAAAAGCCTTTAGCAAAAAATAATTTCCTATGAACTCTGTGCGACTCCACCAGTTGGATGAAGGATTGCTTTGTGTGTGTGTGTGTGTGTGTGTGTGTGTAAAAGATAGTAAGGGTAGAGGGTGGTAGCAGTGGGAAAGTGAGGAGGTAAAGGGAGCCTGATATTGTTATCTATTAAGCAAAGATTTCAGTGTTTACTGGAGCTAATGGTCTGTGTCATTACTACGCAACTACTGTGCAATGCTGGCTGGTAGCTGTGCCGTCTGGGCCGTATTTTATCTTCTTGTTTCACACAAAGGCTACAGCAGAGTGAGAGCACAGGCTTGCAACAAGGAGTACTATAAATACTAATATGGTATGATATCGAGAATAAATCACTAAGTTCTGTTTTTCTCAAGGAGGGGTGTTGTCTTAAAGGGGCAATACATCCAAATACCAAAAACAGATTTTATTTCTCAGCCCTTGTGGTATCTAGACTTGCAGATATGTTTGGCTTTTCCTGCCTGCACTTGTATCATGAACAGCAGTAACAACTATTTCCAAAATTAGTCTCCACATTACTCTGGAAGTCCCATACACATCCATGTGAACAGTCAGGGGTGGAACTAGAGAAATATTCATTGCGTGGCAAAAGGTTAGCATGGAGACTTTAATGGGAAATATACGTTGATTTAATCACATTTATCAATATTTGCCCTCAAATGAAGATATTTTAACTCAAAAACATTACTTTATTGTGGAACATCAGTAAAGCCATGAATAGAAATAAGTTAAGGTGGCATTAGAAATCAATAAATTGTTCAATTTTAACATATTCTTTCCAAATACCTATCTAACCCTAACCCTAACCCCACGTGGCCATAACAGATCATTAAATTAATTCATCTAACTTAATGTGTTAAATTTGGGATGGCAGCTGCCACACCATGCCAGATCCACCTCTGTGAACAGTTTCTATAGGGACTATTTCTTTGCCAGTGAAAACTTTTTCTGGACGGATATGAAGCTGCTACATTTTTAGTTAGTGGTATGGCTCCTTGGCAGTCTAGCAACGATAGTCGGCCCACTAAAATATCTCAATTAACTGTGTGGAGGAGGGCTTGGTTGGCATTCAGCTGCAGGAGGGAGAGAAGTGTGGAGAGCGCTAGTAAGAGCAGTGTCAGGTGAGCTGATTGAATGTCAAAGCTGGTGCTCGTTGACTAATTAGACTCTCCCTTCAAATGCAGTAGTGCTGGACCTCAGATGGCTGCCACACACACACA